TTTTCTTAGCATTTAATGTGCTAAGATTTTGTATCCAATACACAAGGACATGAAGTATTGAGAAAGAAAACTTTGTAAACTTATTTTCAACATACCTACCGACATTACTATTAGTAAAAGAAAAAGAAAAAGAAAAAAAAAATAATCACTATTTGAATGGACACATGTGGTGGTTCAGGCCAAGCCATAGCTGAGTACAACTACATTGTCTTTGCTCTCACAAGAAAGGCATCGTTTTATTTGAATTTGATTTTGCTACCACACTGAAGCATTATTATCGTGATTTTGATACCATTCATTGAAAAACCAACTGATTTAAAAAAGTAGATATACAGTAATTGTAGTGCGAAAGGAGAGGTGTAAGCAAATTAATTGAATCAAACATGAGTCTTAGCAGCTCTTTTTGTTGTTTATTTGTGTTGAATATATATATATATATATATTTTTGGTATAATCTTAATTTTGATTGAAACCAAGTTAAAGTAGGTCCAATTCAAACCAAATAAAATCTCTATTATTACCATTATTATTTATATTCTCATATAATCAATTATATTCTTATGATTAATGTGATCAATAGTGTCTAAGTCAAGTTTAGAAAAATAAACTTGAATCGGACTTATGCTGCGTTTAATGTGCTAAGATTTTATTCAACTCGATGATTCAGTACTTTCAAATGTAACATGCATTGAATTAATTTGAAGTCAAATAACCAAAATCCCTTCCAAATGAATTATAATTTTTAAGCTTAACAAAAAAATTAAGCTAGTTTTTTTAGTAAGGGAATTGTATTTAGAAGGTAATTATAAATCATATGGTTAATTTGACAATTCACGTGATTTGATAAATTCTGTGTTTGGCAGCACTGAATTGGCGCCATAGATTTAGAATTAGAGAAAATTTAATATAAATTTTGATCGATTCGATGCTCCAAATTAGACTTGTAAACAGGCCGGATTCAGACCGAATAAGTGTTGATTCAATCTTAATCTGATAAGGCTATGCTCGATCTAATCCGATCCGATAATCCGACTGATATTTTGTGAATAAATCCATATCAGATTTGTTAATAAATGTATATCCGATCCAATAATCCAGTATGATCCAATAAGGGAGTGTGTGTACAATTTTTTTTTTTAATATATATAAAAATTATGTCAAAAGAGGATAAAAATAATTTAAAAAGATAAATAAAATATGAAAAGAAAATTATATCTTTTATTCTTTATTAAAGAATAAAAATTTTGGAATAAAAAAAATAAAAAGAGGAGAAAATAATGAAATATTTTGATAATATATAAATATAAATTAGATTATAAGCGTTTAATATATTATATAATATATTATTTCGGATCAGATTATTATCAGATCGGATCAGCCATAATCCATATCCGATTTGTTTAATTAATAGATTATCGAATTCGGATCGTTAATAAATTATCGGATTAAATCTTTAATCCATATCTGAGTTATCGGATCGGCTTCAAATCAAAATCCGATCCATTGAAGGTCTATCCCACACTCAAACATAACATAAAGAGATTTTTATTGAGGGTTTGAAATTCAGTGCATGCCATGAGCCTAAAAAACAAAGTCTATCTAAACAATGCCTCTCTGTAATGGATGATGATGCCTTGACTTTACGCTTTAGATAGGTCTAGGGAATGTCAAATGGACTTGTTTTGTCACCTTTAATTGGAATCATGACACCATTTTAGTAAGAGTGAAGGATAAAAAGGAGAAATAGATAGAAGAAGAGAGTTGATCCCTACTAATATTTTGTTCTTCTTATCACCAAAGCTTTACTAGTAACATTCAACTTTATTCAGCATTTATCTCTATAGAACAATGTGCTTCTATGTATAGTTCCCTCTCACAGAAAATAGAGATTACAGAAATTTGATTTTATGCAAGTTGCAAAGCCAGTGTGCAAGTCTGTGCATCCATCATCAAAATAGTAGGGCATGAAGTATAAATTAGGTCCCAATCCCATGCATGTAGGCTGTAGCTGAAGATGAGAATATATTCCTTCATGGGCAACTAGATAATGCAGAATTGTAGATTAGAATTTAATTATAAAAAAGAAAAAGAAAAAATAAATGTGGTTGTCCGAATCTGATCTTCATTTTGTAATTGGCTATAAATGGATAATTTGAGACTGAGGTTTGGCATCCAAGCGAGCAGTTGATCATGAAGGTTGTGGAAGAGAGGTCTATAATGAGTTTAAGAGTCTTCTTTGGTAGCCAAGGGTGACTTGCCTCCTCCTCCTCCTCCTCCTCCTCCTCCTCCAAAAGAGTCTCATAACTTTGTATTACCTCGTCCCTTTTTAATTGTCCGCCTCGTATAGTGTAAGTATACGAGGCGGATAATTAAAAAGGGACGGAGAAAGCAGTATAATTATATGTGTGTGTGTGTGTATATATATAGTCTTGAACCCTTGATTGGATTGCAGGCAAGTCATACCTAGCTAACCTGACAGGCTATTCACTCTCATTTTAGGCCTTCTCTTCTTTGTAAACCACCACTTGAAGTTAGGTTTCATGTTTGCTTTCATAAAAGCTCCAAATGTTGTACTCATGATTTTTTTTTTTTACTTCACTATGCATTTCTTACATATTTACATCAATAATGATTCTCAAGTTTAAAACTCTAACCGTGTACTGTGTACAAAGCAATTTTTTATCCTTTAAATGAAATAGATAAAATCAAAGTTGTAAGTTTATTCACTTCGTCTACCTAATACGAGCCCACCCAAATAAAATTATCCTATTTATATATACAGTTTTCTGATCTTTAACTGGGCCCTTTTTTTTGACTTGTTTATCTCTAATTTTCTTAGCATTTAATGTGCTAAGATTTTGTATCCAATACACAAGGACATGAAGTATTGATAAAGAAAACTTTGTAAACTTATTTTCAACATACCTACCGACATTACTATTAGTAAAAGAAAAAGAAAAAAAAAATAATCACTATTTGAATGGACACGTGGTGGTTCAGGCCAAGTCATAACTGAGTACAACTACATTGTCTTTGCTCTCACAAGAAAGGCATCGTTTTATTTGAATTTGATTTTGCTACCACACTGAAGCATTATTATCGTGATTTTGATACCATTCATTGAAAAACCAACTGATTTTAAAAAGTAGATATACAGTAATTGTAGTGCGAAAGGAGAGGTGTAAGTAAATCAATTGAATCAAACATGAGTCATAGCAGCTCTTTTTGTTGTTTATTTGTGTTGAATATATATATATATATATATATTTGGTATAATCTTAATTTTGATTGAAACCAAGTTAAAGTAGGTCCAATTCAAACCAAATAAAATCTCTATTATTACCATTATTATTTATATTCTCATATAATCAATTATATTCTTATGATTAATGTGATCAACAGTGTCTAAGTCAAGTTTAGAAAAATAAACTTGAATTGGACTTATGCTGCGTTTGGTGTGCAGAAATGAAATGGAATACAAGTGGAAATGAAATGAGAATGAGAATGGGATGGAATGACTATTCCATTTTCATTCTATTGTTTGGTCGTAAATATGAAATGGGTAGGAATGGAATAATAATAATCATTCTAGTGTTTGGTTGGACCAATTTAAAATTTAGAATGAAATAAATTTCAAATTGAATTTTCCAAAATATCCCTTTTAGTAACAAATAAATTAAATTAACAAAATGACATTTTTTAATAATTTTTAAAAAATAAATGGTGGTAGTAGTGGTGGTGGATGGTGGTGATGGAGGTGAAAATCGGTAGTGATGTAGGTGGTGGTGTTGGAAGGCGACGACGTTGGTGGTGGAAAGAGGTGGCAGTAGTGTAGTGGTGGTAATGGAAGGAGATAGTGATATAGGTGGCAGTGGTAGAAGCTAATGGAGGTGACTGTGGTAGTGGTAGAAAGCAGTGGAGGTGGGGGTGGTGGAAGGTGGTGGAGGTGGCGGTGGTAATGGTGGAAGGCGGTGGCAATGGTAGTGGTAGAAGGTGGCAGTGGTAGAAGGCGATTGCGGTGGTGGAAGTAGCGGAGGTGGAAGGCAATGAAGGTGGAGGCGGTTGAAAGCAGTAGAGGTGGTGAAAGGCGGTAGTGGCGGGGGGTGGAAGGTGGTAGTGGTAGTGAAAGGCAGTGGCAATGGTGGTAGAAAGTGGTGGCTATAGTGAAAGGTGGTGGTGGCAGTGGTCAAAGGCGATGACGGTGGCGGTGGAAGGCAGCAGCAGTGGTGGTGGAAGGTAGTGGTGGTGGTGGCGGTAGTGGTGGTGAAAGGCGGTAGCGACGGTGGTGGTGATTGCTGCAAAGGAAGGCGACGTCAGTGGTAAAAGGTGGTGGTGAAAAGCGATGGGCAATGGTAAAAGTCAGTGGCGGTGATGGTGATGGAAGGCGGAGGTGATTGTGGTGGAAAGTAGTGGTAGTTTTTGGACTTGGAATATTAAGGTTTTTGGGAAGTTGACTTTTAAAAAAAATTAACTTGAGAATGGAATAACCATTCCATAGGTTTAGTTGTGGAATGAATTCTCATTCTCATGAATAGATTTTCATTCCAATGGAATGGCCATTCGCATTTTAAATTACATACCAAACAAAGGAATGATTAAAATGGGCATTCTATTTTATTCTATTCCTACACACCAAACACAACATTATTGTTTTGGTAGGATATTTGAGTTTGGGTTAGTTAAATTTGGGTTAAAATGTGGGTAATAGGATATGCAGATCTCATTAGTACAGTAAAATAAAATTGAATTCGGGCGGCAAGGTAGAGAGACTTTCAAACTTTGTGAGGTAGAAAAAAAACACAAAAACGAGTGGATCACGATTCGGCGTCGTTCTATTTTAAATTTCGAAAACGCCCCCGAAAAAGAGGGTATAAACCATGGTTGAAATTGGTTGGTTAAGGCTGGCCAATTAGATTTATCCACTGGCAGAATTTTGTAACCACAGTTAATTAACCGCGGTTAAGACCTTATCATGATTGATATAAATAATTGTAAGCGTGACTGAGATCTGAGACATCCATCGCCTTCGCATCAGATTCATAGGGGTTTCAGTTGAGGGCGTCTTAATAAACGCTTCCAATTTTCTCTCTCTACTTACCATTCTTCAGATCTCTCTGTGCATATCCATCTCTAGATCCATACCTTCCAGCGACAATGAGAGAGTGTATCTCCATTCACATTGGTCAAGCCGGTATTCAGGTCGGCAATGCCTGCTGGGAACTTTACTGCCTCGAGCATGGCATTCAGGTATATCTTCATATCTTCTTTAATTTTTCATATATGTATATATATATGTATAGAGAGAGAGAGAGACAAATGTGTGTGTATGCAAACGTTCTTATATAGATCTGTGAGCAATCGTCAAAATGTAGCGCTTTTACACACACATTTTTATGCTTTATCTAGATCTGTTAGTAATGGTAAAAAATTTAGCACTCTGCACACATTTTTATCTAGATCCGTGAGTAATTGTCAAAATGTAGCACTTGTACACACATTTTTATGTTTTTAATTAGATCTGTGAGTAATCGTCAGGATGTAGCACTTTACACATTTTTATCTAGATCTTTGAGTAATCGTCAAAATGTAGCTCTTTAATCATATATTGTATTCCGGTGGATTATTATTTATTGTGTTCTATTTGTCTCAGTTGAGTGGTTATGTGTTTTGCGTTGAATGTTCCAGATCTAGATCTATTTGTATCTGTGTAGCATTTTAGATTTTTTTCCGGCTTCATTTGATTCAAGTTTTGAGACGTTTACGAGAATTTATGATGATTGTGATATATCAGATCTATGATATTGTTGAACTGGAAACATTGTAGTGCTGTTCTGTATTTGTCAGATCTAGGATTTGAATGTTTTCACATGATGATGCTATAGAACTGTGAACCATTTCTTATGTTTTTGATTTATGGCTGTTGATTTTAATGTCTTTCACCCGTATTCCTTTTAGTCAGATCTAGGGTCCTTGATGTACATTGCAGACAAATGCTTGTTTAGGTTTTTGAACAATTTAGAAACATGGAATTCTGATAGTTATCCTTGTTTTTGGAGAATCATGTAGTTTTTTTTATAAGATTCTATTAATGTCCTTTGAATGCCATGTTATTCTGTTACATTTTGTCCATGGTGTTCGATCTAGAGTTATGCTGTTTTATTATGTATATTGATCACAATCTGCATTATCATTTTGAAGGGTGATACTATATGTTATCCGATTTTAAACGAATTATTGAATAATCTCATGCACTTTACTTTTTGATCATAACCCATGATTAGACTAGTGTTTACATTTGAGCTGATCTCTAATTTATTATATTTGTACCATCCCACCTTTTCTTTGTTCAAAGTTATTCTTTAAGTCATGTACGTACAATACATTTATGCTTCTATGTTTTAATATTTCCTGTACTGATTAATCAAGAAAGCTTGTTGCTTCTACCAGTTGGATTTATGCAGGCTTATTCTTCTTTTAAGATATTGCTTATAATAGCAGCATGCAATTTTTTTTGTTTCATCTTGGTAATTTTGAATTGTAATTTGGGGGAAAAGAGAGCATTTGGAGAAGGGGATTGTTCTAGTTTTCATTAATTTGTCTAAATTTGAACATTGACTGAGGCTATGGCCTTAAATAGAGCGGAATGGAAATATGGGATTCAAATAGTTAAGTAAAAGGCTTGATTCTTCTTGTTGTCTAAATTTCAACACTTTATTGAAAAACTATGTAAATTGGTCAACTACAACAAAATTTTGGTTTCACGAAGCCAGATGTTGTTTGTCAATCCAGACAGGGTGATTTTTCCTTACCACGGGTTAAAATTTTCAGACAGTTGAATTTTTAATCTTTTTCATTGACAATTTTTGTTTTTCCTTGTTTTGTGTTCATTAAGTGGATTTTTTGTTTACTGCATTGCTTTATTTAATGTTACTTTTAAATTAAACATATCAAATATTGTGCTGATGTCACTTTGTATTGTCTCACACAGTATTTAAAACTTATATCACTTTTCCAGTGCAGAAATTTTGATACTGGACACTCAAGATATATATAGTTCCATCTTCCAAAACTGTCCAGTGTTTTTTCCCTGAATTCGATGCACTTCTGTTTGACTTGCTATTCTGTCTTTGACAGCCTGATGGCCAAATGCCTAGTGACAAGACTGTTGGGGGTGGTGATGATGCTTTCAACACCTTTTTCAGTGAAACTGGTGCTGGAAAGCATGTTCCCCGTGCAGTTTTTGTAGATCTTGAGCCCACTGTCATCGATGAGGTGAGGACAGGAACATACCGCCAACTTTTCCACCCAGAACAGCTCATCAGTGGCAAGGAAGATGCAGCTAACAACTTTGCCCGCGGACACTACACCAGTAATTATCGTGCAGCTGCTTCTGATTTTTATGATATTATCTCCCACTCAATGCTGAAATTTGCTTATATATGTTTTTAATAATTTTCAGTTGGAAAAGAGATTGTTGATCTCTGCTTGGATCGTATCCGGAAGCTTGCTGATAACTGCACTGGTCTTCAGGGTTTCCTGGTCTTCAATGCTGTTGGTGGAGGCACTGGCTCTGGTCTTGGTTCCCTTCTTCTGGAACGTCTGTCAGTTGATTATGGCAAGAAATCGAAGCTTGGTTTCACTGTCTATCCTTCACCACAGGTTTCAACCTCCGTTGTTGAACCCTACAACAGCATACTCTCTACCCACTCCCTTCTGGAACACACTGATGTTGCTGTTCTGCTGGATAATGAGGCCATCTATGATATTTGCAGACGTTCTTTAGATATTGAGCGACCCACCTACACTAACCTTAACCGTTTGGTTTCTCAGGTGTGCTTTTTTCCCTCTCGGTTTGCAGTTGCCTTATTTTGCTGAAGGATTTGTCTTTCTAACCACCTTTTAATGTTTGGTTCAGGTGATTTCATCCCTGACTGCTTCCCTAAGGTTTGATGGTGCATTGAATGTTGATGTGAATGAGTTCCAGACTAACCTGGTACCATACCCCAGGATTCACTTCATGCTTTCATCTTATGCCCCTGTTATCTCGGCTGAGAAGGCCTATCACGAGCAGCTTTCAGTTGCAGAGATCACTAACAGTGCATTTGAACCGTCATCCATGATGGCCAAGTGTGATCCTCGCCATGGCAAGTACATGGCATGCTGCCTGATGTACAGAGGCGATGTGGTTCCCAAGGATGTCAATGCAGCTGTGGCCACTATCAAAACTAAGCGCACAATCCAATTTGTGGACTGGTGCCCCACTGGATTCAAATGTGGTATCAACTACCAGCCCCCAACCGTTGTTCAGGGTGGTGATCTTGCCAAGGTGCAGAGGGCTGTGTGCATGATCTCGAACTCCACTAGCGTTGCAGAGGTGTTCTCACGCATTGACCACAAATTTGACCTCATGTATGCTAAGAGGGCATTTGTACACTGGTATGTCGGTGAGGGAATGGAGGAAGGTGAATTCTCTGAAGCCCGTGAGGACCTTGCTGCTCTTGAGAAGGACTACGAGGAGGTAGGTGCTGAGTATGCTGAGGGTGAAGATGGTGATGAGGGAGATGAGTACTGAGTGGTGAATGTGTGCTTTTGTCCTGCTAGTTTTATTTCATTTCCTTGTTTCTCTGTCTGGTGGTGTTTGCTATGTTGGTCTTTCTCTATGGTTGTTGTATTCTTCTATTTTCGCTCACTTTGTTTGCAGCAGCTGCTTAATTGCTGTTTGCAATGTTATCGTGTTCTTGTACTAGACTTCTTTGATGATATGAATGTGGCTGTGTTAGAAATTGTCTAGTTTATTGTTCAATGTTCTGCATATTATTCTTATCACAGATAATGACATCTTTGGAAGGATCTCTCGTTGAGGGCTCTTTAATCTAAAGAGGATTGAAATATTAGAGTACGATTTTTACCCAATTCGCTCAATTTCTTTATGATCCTTTATCCATCAAGTATGCTAATAACTTAGGGTCTTATACAACTTGCTGATGTTTCTGTTTCCAGATAAATTGTTCTCACTGCTATCTCATGGCTGGTTGGCTGGCCTTGTGCTTGTATCTTTATGGGTATCAAAATCTATTTTTTGAGTTATTCATCTCCTACCACTGCGATGCGGTCTTTCATACTCTTAGGATAGGAAAGAAATAAATTGTTCTTGTTAATTGATGTTTGTTTTTTGTTTCTTCAACTGTGGGAGGTATATAACTTGTTCTGGTACGTCATATGTTTGTTTCACGTTCTTTCTTTACCAATTACGTTTGTGGGCAAATTTGCTAGAAACGGAAATAAATACATCAAAAGGTAAGGTTTTGTAGTCTTCGGTTAACTGTGAGTCATAGAGTCTTCACAGTTATAGGGATTTTGCAGGCCCTATTAGAGAAAACGTCAATATCATTTGAATCTCCAGTGTGACAACTGTAGATGCTGAATCGGAACATTAGCATACACTCGCGATAATATAAAATTTGAAGACGACAAGACATTGGATAAAGGGTTAACTTGTTTGTGCATAGCGGTTAATGAGTAAACAAAAATGGAGTTTGACCCAGAGGAGGAGTGAAGGGGTGGTCTTCCATGCACTATACATCCCCTTTCCATACTATTGCTTCCTCGTCCTCCAACAACGTCCCACTCTCTCCTTATAACCCCATAAGTTTAATCAGTTACAATTTCCACTGTGAAGAACATGTCTGCTACAACATTCTCACTTTCCTCATATTATAATAGGCAATATTGTATGATTCTTTTATTACGAAGTATTATTTATTTATTTGTAAAAGATGTTAGTGTGAGACTCGTTCTAATGCAATTAATTTCATTTCTATTGCACTTGCTAGTTTTGAAGGAGAAAAAAGGTAATTAATTTTACTCCTTTAAAAATCGGTGAAATTTAATTGAGAATATGGGTGGCTTCAGTGCTTCACATCCAAGTTCAAACTGAGAAATCCTCCCCTTAAAAAGCTGTTAAATGCCAAAAGATTTCTAATAGGTATATAAAATTGAAGTCAAAATTTCTCCATCTGTTATTTGATTGAAGATCACAGTTTCCTCACTGCAATATAAAATACAGGTGGAATATAAATTGTGCCATAAGACCCATTTTAAGTCCACCAACAAATTCTCTTATTTTTATTAAAGAATAAAATTTGTTACAACAGACCGCAGGACAACTTCAACAAAAACAAGAAGGAACACAAAAAGCTATAATAATAATAATAATTTATTATATTATAGTACAGTAATAATACTACGAGTACTACAAATAATGATTCTTTACACGTTCTCTGGGGGTGCTTAAGACACATGAATTCTTTTTGCCATTAATCTCGCTTCTCTCTCTACTTTCTCTCTCTTGGGGGTATTGTAATGCAGCTATTCTGGTTGCTCGGCTCACCAGAAGAAGAGAAAGGAAGACATACAGATTCGTTGCTTTAGAAATCAATTGAAAATCATTGAGAAGACATGGAAAAGAAGAAGAAGGATTGCAAGCTTGCTTCCGCTACCTGTCAAGAAGCTCATGAAACAAATGACCTATTGGTAATTAACCCCTCTAGCTTCTCACTTCTTTATCAAATGGGTTTGTATAAGTTGGGTTTTCTAAACCCTTGCCTCTGCAAAATCACATCACACTGATCATTTGGGTTTCTCTTAGCTAAATTTGATTTGGGTACTGTTTAATTGTTCATCTTCAATAGAAACCCGAAAATTGAAAGAACGAAGAGATTTGGGGTTCCAGTAAACCTTTCGTTAGAATATTATATACATGTATAGCAATATAAGTTCTGCAACAAATTTTATTTATTTATTTATTTATTATTTTTTATCTGGGTATGGTGAGATACAAATTAATAATCATTTTAAAGTAGTTTTGGATTATATTCTTCTGTCTTTTAATTGATATAAGTAGCAGTTGTCTTTAATGATAAGATGGTTTATATTTATTTCAACAGGTGTGACTTTTTATTTTGTGATCATATTTTACTGAATTAAATTCCAGAGGCCCATAAATGTATATTTTAATATTTCTATATGTAGAAGAAGACATTGCATTAGTGGAAATTTATTTGTATATTTTTCATGAGATTGAATTTAATCACTAGCAGCGGAAGGAGGATCAGAATCAATCTGGTGTAGGGCCTTCTGCTGGAAAGAATGCCACAGTTGGTAGTTCTTCCGAGGACAACGCACCTTCATTGAATCAACAATTCCAACCAGTTGTTCAATGGCCATGCACATCTCAGCCTACTGCGAAACAATCCCCAATAGTCTTAAAACCCTGTATTCCCTCCCAATCGGTTTCACCCATCGGCCCAAGCCAATGGCAGCCATCTCAACGTCAGCAACCAAATCCCACAACCCATCAGGTCCAACAAAGCCAGACACCCCCGCATTTGGTGCAATCAGCCATGCCGGTGTGGATGGCCCAGCGGCCTGGTTACCAATTAGCTGGTGCTAGTGTGCCTTCTTATCACCCATTAGCTCCCATAGGAACATTAGATGTTAGCTGGCAAGGTCCGGCCTTAATCGGAGGAGGAATGTCAGCAAGAAGCCAACCTCAGGTTCCAAGCTTTTGTTACCATGCTGGTTACTCATATCCAGGCTTTCCAGGTAAATGTACTGCGTCGATTATTTCTATTGTAAGCATTGCAATGAATCTCATTGGAATTTTCTTTTTCTATCTTAAAATGTCTCAAAAGCTCTCCATGCTAGATGCCAAGAAATTGTAAAATTTCCCTTGAAAATTGCTAGATGTCTACACATTGTCATGATATTCTACGAAACCAAAGAAAAAATATATCAGAATTTTTCTGTTAGGGTATACTACTAATGATTTCAATAAGAGTGATTTGACTATTTGAGAATATCAGGAATCATGATGAATAATCCTTTAAATCCTCCCCAATATAAGAAGTTCCATAATGTGTACCTTTTCTTCACATTAATTCCCAAGTATATATCACTATGCTGCCAAATTGTGTAATTCGAGTTGTTTGAAGTTGGAGTTTTTGTTTTTAACAGGTCATTGGGATCCTTCATCTTGGTGGGGTCAACCACAACAATCACTCCCTCCTTGTACCTACACATTCCCAGGAGCATGTGGCAACTTTTCTTCCTCATTTGTGCCAGTGTCTGGTTGCTCGGCTGCTTCTGCACAATCCCTCCAGAGAGGAATTATTCGGCCGTCCCTAAAACTTTCCCAGAAGCATCAGCAGCTGTGGGAAGCTCAAGTATGAATAATTGTTCTGCTCTATACATTGGCTATTATTATTTTTCTTGTAATCTTTTAATTGACAATGAATAAGTAGGTCTATTCTGGTGCAGTCAGCAGAAAATGTCCAGCTATGGACTGTGGTTGGTCACTTGCAATCTGAATTAGCTGATTGCAAGAGTCGCCTGATGAAGCTTGAAGCAGATGTCTTATCTCAGAAACCAGTAGTTGAAGAGCCTGTTGCTCATGCTACTGGGACTTCTTTAACTGGACAGAAATCAAGGAGAGGGAGGCCAAAGAGGCTAATTGCTTCAGTTGATGTACTACCTTCTCCAGATGAGTCTCGCCACCGAGCACGTGGCCGAAAGACTGCAGTATGCAATGCTCAATGTGAGGATAAGGATTTCAATTTTGAGAAAGGATCCATAAGCAAAGTGGAAGGTAAAGAAAAAGCAAGTCGCTCCACAACTAATATTCAGTCGGCAAATGATGGTAAAATTGCAACAATCTACCCAAATAATAGCGGCGAAATTGAGATTTCTGGAAGCCACCCTGCATTTGACAATCAAATTTATGAGGACATTCCAGGTCTGCAAAGTTGTGGGGTTGGCCTTGACTCTTCTGAATTGAAAAGGAATGATAGTAAGCAAGATACAAAATCTGCCTTCTCATTGTTGTTTCAGCATGTTAAGGGGATTGAGAGTAAAAGTGCTTCTGCTAATTTTATAGGCACCTCGAGAAATGGAAACTTTGGTTGGCCATCAAATATCACACCAGAGGATTGTGGAAGAAGTTTGCTCAATATAAACTCTCAGAATTTCTACAGTGATAGCAGTGTTACTGGACAAGGAGGGAAGGTTGTTACGGGTTGGAGCTTTGCAAATGGAGAGGATGCTTCACTAGGTCTTGAAAATGCTATGGTAGGATCACCCAAGGATGAAGATGACGAGATGGAAGACGATGACATCTCAGGCGCAGAAGATACTGCATGAGTTAAGAGGATCAGGATGCCTACAACATGAATTCTCTAAGGGATACTAACACTAGAGGTTAGCATCAGTTGTAGCTAGTTAAAATTTACTCCCTCTGAATTACATTGCTTGATTGACATCAGTATTAGTTGATGATGTGTATTCCTGCTCAGTTGGGCTGAATTCTTTCTGCACAGAGGAAAGAGATCTACCCAAAATTTTGCAAAGCAGGACTATTTGTTTTTTTACCTCTCACAGATATAGTAGATAGAGACACTAACTACACTTCAATCGTCCGTTGTAAGACATGACTTTCTTCTTTTTTGTTGTCTTTATTTACATGTAGAGAGGAGTAACATTTCGCAATTTGTCTGGATTAAAATGACATTTTAACTTAATGCCATTAAAATGTTAACGAACTACTTAGGAAAAACATAAATAAAATGTTAGTGAACTTCATTGTGCTCCTGTGGTAAATTGAAACAACTTACTTGTAAGCATACAATAATCTATGAAAAAAGCAAGGGTTTCTTAATTGTTTAGGAATTTTTAAGTCCTTATTGTAAATCCTTCTAGTATAGCAAGAAAAGTTTATGAATTGCTTAGAATTGCAA